AACAAAAAACAAAAACAAAATAAAAGAATTTTGGGCATACATGCACCTAGAGCAAGTTTGAATTCACTGGGTTGAGAACTCAAACCCTGGTCAGCCATGTAGGAGTCCAGCAATGTAACCATTACACCATCTGCTGATCTTTTTTTTTTTTTAAATATGCTATGGGGTATATGCATTCACCAGGGTGGGGGTGGGGGTAGAAAGCACACCCCTGGCCTTGCCACAGTCCTTTCTCCTCCATTCTCCGCTCAGGATTTTGGGCATGTGTGCAAACATACTTGGTGTGTTTTCCAAGCTGCCATGTCTGGACTCCAATAGTACAGTTGGCCATGTTGGATCCAACTGTTTTACCACTATGCCACCAGCTATCCCTCTAGTCAGCCATCTTGATTGAAGTTTCAAATATTTTCATTTTTGTTTTTAGTTTGCTATAGGGTGTGTATGTTCACTGAAGAGAGGCAGAGAGAGTGAAAGTGGGATATCACCCCCCCTAGAAGGGATAGTCACACTGCAGCCCCTTCTCTATTCTCCTCTTGGGAGTTCAGGCACACATGCACATGCACCCTGTGTGATTTTCATTTGGCCATATGAGATGCAGCCATCTTAACCACCATGCCACCTGCTAGCCCCCAAATATTTTTTTCTAAGCCTGTTTTTGTTTTGTTTTAATTTTGAGAGACAGACAGAATGAACAACCATCAGAATTCTGACGCTGTGACTCACTCTAGACTTCAGTCAGTCTCAGATCATGGACAGGTGTAGTCAGGGTGGTCTCCAGACTTGAACCAAGAATTTGCCTCACAGAGCATTGCATATTATCATACTACCATATGGCCCTAGGAAGTTTTAAATCCTTAAACAAAAATGTAAACATTATACATTTATTTATTAAACTAAATTACAAGTTAAAGTTAACCTACACAGAAAAATTGACAAATTCACCATATTTACAGTTGGATGATAACAAAATGTGTGTCAAAACTTGTAATATGTAGCTAAAAAGATGCTTGTAAGGAAATAAATTTATCTTTTAAATGCTTTCATTAGAAAAGAAAAAAAAAAAAAGCTAAAAATCAGTGACCTATGCATACAACCTGAAAAGTCAGAAAAAGGAAAAGCAGGGACCAGTAGATACTTAATGGTTTAGTCACTAGACTCCCATGTAGTTTGAGTCCTGGATCTGGCAGCTTAAAAATCACTCCAGGTGTGTGTGCACGCGTGCCCAAGATCCCAAGAGAATGGAGGAGAAAGAATTGCAGTGTGGCCATCTCCCTTGGTGGATGATATCTCGCTTTCAGTCTCTTTCTCACTCTCTCTGGTGAGTACATGTGCCCTATAGCAAAAGTCTCTCTAAAATAAAAAGAAAAGAAAAAGAAAAAGCAGATGAAATTAAAGAAAAATTTTAAGGTAGGAGGATGGAAATAATAAATACAGAAGAAAAAAAATGAATGAAGTAAAAAGCAATTATACACCTGAGGGTATTACAAAGACAAACGTTTTCAGGAAAGTTTAATGAAACTGACAAACCACTGGTAAGATTAAGCAATACCAAAAGAAAAAAGATACAAATTATATTATTAGAAAATAAACGTGGACTGTAACTACAGATAAAACAAATTAAAAAAATAGGAGGCTAAGGACCAGCAGTCAGCGTAATGGCTATGTCGCTGGATCCCATGTAGTCGACCGCGGTTTGAGTTCCGGACCCGGTGGCTTAAAACTCATGCCTGACGTGTGTGTGTGCGCCCCAGATCCCGAGAGGAGAAAGGAGGAATGGCCATCCTCTCTGGTGGGTGATTTTTCATTTTTGACCTCTCTATCTCTCTCTGTCTTTCTGGCAACTGCAAGCACCCTATAACAAAAACCTCTCCAAAAAAAAAAAAAAGGCTAAGGTCAGCAGGTAGCATGAAAATGAAGGCTGAGTCCACAGTTCGAGTCTTCACCCAGGTGGCTTGAGTCACCCTAGACACATGTGTGTGCATGTCCAAAATCCCAAGAGGAGAATGGAGGAGGAAGAATTATGGCCTGGCCATCCCCCTGGTGGGTGATTTTTCATTTTCCCTCTCTTTCTCTTTCTGAAGAGTGCATGTGTCCTATAGCAATGATAATAATAATAATAAATAAAGGCCACCAGACAACTTTGTTAACAATAAACCTGAAAAAAAATGTATAAATTCTTGGAAAAACACAACTTGCAAAAACTGACTCAAGGAGACACAGAAAAGTTAGAGAAATGCTATATTAACACATAAAGAGGGACCAACAGTTAGCGTAATGGCTATGTCATTGGACTCCCACGTAGTTGATCGCATCCTGGACCCGGTGGCTTAAACTCACACCGGGCGCGTGTGCATGCGTGCCCAAGATCCCGAGAGGAGAATGGAGGAGAAGGAATTGTGGAGTAGCCATCCCCCCTGGGGGGTGATTTCTCGCTTTCTGTCTCTCTGTCTGTCTCTTTCTGTGTGGAGAGCACATGCGCCCTATAGCAAAAACCTCTTCAAAAAAATTTAAAAAACAGGGACCAGCAGTTAGCATAATGGCTATGCCGCTGGACTCCCACGTAGTCGACCGCGGTTTGAGTCCTGGACCCGGTGGCTTAAACTCACACCGGACGTGTGTGCATGAGTGCCCAAGATCCCAGGAGGACAGTGGAGGAGAAGGGATTGTGGTGTGGCCATCCCCCTGGGGGGTGATTTCTCACTTTCTCTCTCTCTATTTCTCTCTGTCTGTCTGGCGAGTGCATGCGCCCTATAGCAAAAACCTCTCTAAAAAAAGAAAAAAAAACATATAAAGAAAAAAATACATGATTATCTTAACAAATGCAGAAAACCTTACTGATAAAATCAAACACTCTTGGACTGGTTCTATGGCCTGATGATTAAGGCAGCTGGATTCCACGTGGCCAACACTGCAGTTCAAATCCTAGAGCTGGTGGCTTGAGAAACATGCTGGGCACCTATGCATGTATGCCCAAAATCCTGACAAGAGGAGAAATGGTGGAGAAGGGATAGTGTAGCCATCCTCCTTGGGGGATGCTTTTACATTTTCTCTCTCTTTCTTGCTCTCTCAATCTCTCCATCTCTTTCTGACAAGCACATACTCCCTATAGCAAATTTAAATAAATAAAAAACCAAACAAACAAAAACTATGCATCTTAAAAAAAAAAAAAATTCTGGGCCAGGCAGTGGTACAGTGGTAATGCACCTAGACCTCTGGACATACATGGAGAGGTCCTGCATTCATGTCATGGGCCTTTCCTAGGCATGCCAAATGTGCATGCACATACTAGCCATCTAAGTTAGCTAAGACTAAGGCGGATCATGGCATGGATCCCTATTAGGAATGGCTGTCTGTTGTCTGTCTCTGTCTTCCTCTCTCATGGAAGAAATAAACTCAAAATAATAATATCATGATCTAGGGGCCCTGATGCCAGATAACAATTTAGCAGGTACATAAAATTGTGCTTTTTTTTCTTCTTTTTTTTTGGGGGGGGGGAGGTTTTTGCTATAGGGTGCATGCACTTGCCAGACAGACAGAGACAGAGAGACAGGAAGCGAGAAATTACTCCCCAGGGGGGATGGCCACGCCACAAGCCCCTCTCCTCCATTCTCCTCTCGGGATCTTAGGCACGCATGCACACGCGCCCAGCGTGAGTTTAAGCCACCAGGTCTGCGACTCAAACCGCGGTTGACTGTGGGAGTTCAGCAACATAGCCATTACGCTAACTGCTGGTCCCAAAATTGTGCTTTTTTTACTTTAACCCTTTCTCCCCTTAGTCCTGACCCTGAATGAGGAAATATTAGGGAGTATAATATACGTCATCTTGCCCTACCACTGGCCTCAGGCCTTCACCATTGTAGGCTTGCAGCCTGAGACAGTGCCAGGTTGAGGAAGGGGAGAAACTCCACTTTGTATAAAAATTTGAAATCTTGCTTATTGCATTGAGAGATGGCCCTTCCTAGCTAGAATACAACTGTTCTTGTGCCCAAGAGGCCAGAAAAACTATGGGTTTGTCCTGAATTCAAACAGGGCAAGGGGGCAAAAATCAACCCACAGAGAGTGGAAGGAATTAAGTAGCTTTATGCATACTCCTTGTGGGATCTACTTTAACACGATGGTCACAGATGCAAACAATGTGTGAATTACAAAGGACCCTTCCTTAGTTCTAAACCTACTAAATAGAGAAATCCTTGTATTCCACATGCGTGAGATAGGAGCAGTTTAACTTCCTAGAGTGTCATAATAAGTGGGCCCTATTTCCATCCCTGCACAAGAACGTTCCCTGAAGAGCATTAGGATCACTGAACAAACATAAGTGGCAGAAAGGAGGGGTTTTGTGATCTTACAAGCATTCAGATGCCACATGATATAAGATCCCCACTGTAAGGAACATAGTATTTACCTGTCATGCACACCACTGTAACATTGTCTTGAACAGTGCCCAATATAAAGAAAATATCTACTGGGACCAGCAGTTGGTGTGATGTCTATGTCGCTGGACTGCCATGTAGTGGGCTGCAGTTCAAGTCCCGGACCTGGTGGCTTAAACTCACACCAGGGACATGTGCGTACGTGCTCAGGAGCCCGAGAGGAGAATGGAGTAGAAGGGACTGCAGCGGGGCCATCCCTCCTGGGGGAGGTGATTGCTTGCTTTCTGTCTCTCTGTCTTTCTGGCAAGTTCACATGCCCTATAGAAAAAACAAACAAACAAACAAACAAACAAAAACCTCTAAAATTTTTTTTTTAAAAAAAGAGAAAATATTTACGGAATAACTGAATAAATGGAACTCCAAGATACAAACAGAAATATGAGAAGCAAGGATGGTTTTTCTTTCTCAAGGCTTGAGCTGCAAACTTTATTTAATTATAATCATAAGGATTTTATAGATGAAGGGCTCAGGGACCTATGAAAGTAGGTTGGGTTTCAGCTTTAGGGCATCCTCTAAGTGAACTGTGGAAAGAG